CACCAGTCTCAGGACGCTACACCCCGCTTGCAGCAGCTCCTCCACGTCCACCCGCGCCAGCAGAAGCTCGCGCACGGGCACGCCCGACTCCGGCTCCACCAGGGCACTCGTCGGGAGGCCCCCGTCCACGAGGACGGCCGCCGAGAAACCCGCTCGGTGCAGGGCTCCAGCGGTCCACCCAGTGCGGAACAGGTAGGCCGCCAGCGTGGGCTTCTCGTGCAGCCAGAGCTGGGCGAGGAGGTCAGGAGGACAAAAAACTGTACAAGCATACTCATCGTTCGGAAAACGTCGCAGAAACATGAAGAAGAAAGGCGTTGTAAGGAAATCGGGTTTCCGCTCGCCCCCTGGAGAGGAAGCAGAAAGGGAACAAACAGTGCGACTCTTCAAACAGGAGCGCGCCTAGCCTGGGAATCCCCAAACACCTGCTTCTGACAGACGATGGGTAAGCTTGCAGAGTTCCCCGCAGACGCGAGGCGGAGACCTTCGGGGACTGGCTAGCGGTGGATGTGGATATGCTTGCCACCTCCAGAGCCCGAACATATCCACATACGTACACCGCCTGCCGGGGTCCCCGAAGATCCATCCCTGATGTGGTGGTGACGGAGAAGTCTCCGCCTCGGAGCGGACGTCTTGGCTCGGCGCTGGACCCACCCTTCCCGCACCGGACACGCGGAGCCCCCCCGTGTCGGGCGGCGCAGGAAGCACCGCCAAGGGTCGCGGGGAGAGAGGGGCCTCCAGCGCCGACCCGAGAGATCTGCGTGGGCCCCCGAAAGCTTACAGCCGCCGGGCTGCCACACGGAGCGCTGACTCAGGAACGAAGAACGAAGGGACGTTCCTGGCCACGGCGAGCCTCGGCCACGAAGAGGCCCCCCGACCCAGATCGAAGGAAGGGCCCGAGAACCAGGGACCCTCGTGAGCCCAAGGCGGTCCTTATGCCAGCGTGAAGACTAGACGCTCACGGCGCCGTTTGCCCTCCTGGGACGTAGACGACCGCCACGACCACCAGCAACCTTATGTTCCCAGCCTTGGAGCACTTCGGTCTGAAGGCTCTGAGTATCGCCGCGGCCAGCTGCATGCTGGGCGGGCCCCCGATGCCCGCGGGGCCTCCACCACGGGCGAAGGGGCAGGGCACCAAGTGCCAACAAAAAAACAGAGCCGAAACGGCTACGGACACGGGCGCCACGATGGCGACGGCAACCGATGACAGCGGCTGCCGAATCGGCCACGGTGCGAGGCGGTGGCGTATCCATCACCACCGCCTGGAGGATCGACATTCGGGGGCCTCAACAAACAGTGGATAGTCGTTGTTGCCGCACACATCATTGCTGTCCCACGAACATGCTTCGAGCAAAATGGTATCGGCGCGAGCGCGGCGAGGTGAAACCAAAGGCCAGTTAAGCAGGCCTACTCGAGGAGAGGAGGAGGAGGAGGAATGAAGAGGTGGGTACCATTTTCTCAACACGAAGCGCAGGCGGTGGATACTATAGACAGAGATGCCGCCCCCAAGGCCCCAAATCGCTGGCCCCCTTGGGGGTCAAAAGGCTGCGAGGCGGAGGTGCCCGTGTTCCCTGCAATCAGTTCGATCCTCGAAGCTGTAGCTATAGAGTCTCTTGTTTCATTACAATGCTATGCTGATTGAACTCTGCGGGAAGGTAAACCTCCCAGAAGAGAAAGGTTTTGGAAGAGGACAGGGAGAACTCGGTAGACCATCTTAGCCCTAAGGGCTGGGAGGATTGCTACGCGCTGGCGCTCCAAAGACCACAATCTCTGGCAAAGTACGTCAGACACGCGATCCCCAAGCCGCGACCCATAGCAACTTATTACACATTCAAGCTCACCGAAGCCTCAACCCCTCGAAAATTACTACTGTCCCCCTGAGCCTCGTCGGTCCCTCTCGTCCCTCGCCCTCCGTGCTTCCCCCCGTGCCCCTCCGTAGCCTTATGGCTTAGGCGCGTGCGCACCTGCCTCATAGGATTGTGTGTGTGCCCCTCTCTTGCCCCGCTCGCCGAAAACTATCTCTTATCCTGCCACCTTCTCCCGTCTGGGCCACGACAGTTGGTAAGCGGAGCGATGGTTGAGGGAAATGAGGGAAAAGGCGATGGAGGAGCGCGTGGTAACGCAGGCGCACGACACCCGCACAGAGAGCCAGGTGCGCCCACGCCCAGACCTAGCACCGTCGACGCCAGCACGGACGCCCCGCGGTGGACGGCAGAAGACCCATGGGCCACGACGGACCCCTGGAAAGACGCGCCCAGCTACGTGGGCGGCGACCAACGACACAGTGACGACAGAGACCGACACTCAGGATGGTGGTCCGCAAGCTGGAGTGATTGGTGGTCGGGCAGCATCGACTGGAGCGAAGGCTCAATCGTAGCAAGGACTTCGGACCGCCTCCCGGTTGCCGGGAGCCCACACCCTCGTCGACACGGCGGCCGCGCAGGCCCTGATCGGGAAGCCCGGCTTCAAGGTGCTGATTGACGAGATGACGGAGCACGGCTACAAGGTTCAGGTGGACTGGAGCCCAGTGAAGGGCGTGATCGCTTTCGGGATCGGGGGCAAGACGACACCGGTCGCCAAGGCCTGGGTTCCAGTCACGATCGCGGGATGGGGCATCGTGGAGTTCCTCGTGCTTCTGCATGCTTGCCCGCCGCTGCTGCCCGCCAGGCTCCTCACGATTCTCGGCGCCTCCATCGACCTGAGGAATGGCATCCTGACGGTCAACGAAGGTGGCGACAGGGTGGACCCGCCGCTCTACGTACATCCCGCTGGACATCGGCCGGTGGGACAAGTTCATCGCCCTCCGGAACGGTTCGTTCTGCATCCAGATCTCGCCCAGCGGTTCCAGACCAGCGACTTCGCGGTGGCCGAGGACCGCTGCCGCCGCACCGACGTAGGATCCATCGTAGGAGCGAGTGCGAGGGCGCAGGATAGCAGTAGCAGCAGCGAGCCCAGCCTGTTTGTCCTAGATCCCTCCGCGTCCTCCTCTCCCACTCCGACCTCGGGGGAAAGCGATCCGTCCCTGGTGTGAAACCCCTCTTGGCTCAAGCTTGGGACGAAGCTAGAGACAACGACATCACCATCGTATCTCGGGATGCCGCCGGTGCTCACCAAGAAGAAGCAGAAGGAGACCAAGGGCTCTGTGAATCTCCGCTCAATGCGACGTCGAGCACAGATTGCGGCGATCGAGGGCCCAGAGGACGAGAGGATCAACCCAACGGACGACGGCCCGGACTAGGAGTAGGTCGACGACCTGGCTGGGCGCGAGCGCATGGACCAGGTCCTGGCCAACGAGGAGATGAGTCAGCGCGACAATCAGTTCATTCTGGAAGATTCTCTGCGACTGGAGCCGAACGACCAACGCTGAAAGCACCTCTGCATCAAGACGATGTGGTTCACCCGGATGTGTATGGGCACGATCGACGCGGTGCATCGCTGCACGGACGCCCAGGAAACGATGACCGAGGAGGACTGTCTTCACCCACCGTGGGCGAGGCAGACTAGGAGCAACCAGCACAGCTTCTGGACGGACTGCATGCAGTGCAAGGGGGCGCCTCGCCTATTGCACAGGAAGAAGACAGAGGAGGAAAAGGCAGAGGCCCTCAAGCACAAGGCCCTCAGGGAACGCAAGACGGAGATGAGCAAGGTCGCCAAGGCCAAGATCCAAGAGGAGCTCGAGCAGGTGACCAAGGAATACGACCAGCAGGGTGGCGATTCGTGGACCCTGGCGCCTCGTCCCAAGGCCCCCCGCCGACTCCCCTGCCGATCAACGAGGGATCCATTCCTCAGAAGGCACCATCGGCGGGAGCTCCTCTGCCCAAGCGCCCGAACCCGCCTCCGCATGTAAGAGCCATGACGGTGGCGGAGATGCAGCAGGCCCTGTACGACATGACCACAGTGGTGGTCAACCAGCGCAAGAACGGCGAGCACTGCTTCCAGCAGATGATGCGCATGGTGACGCAACAGATTCAGCAGCTCCACGACGCGATCAATCACCCAAGGGTCGCCGACTATCAGCGATGTGAAGAGGATCGTGGAGTACCAGGGTGACCAGATCGCGAAGCTCATGGACCGTCCGCTGATGTCCGATACCGACATGGCCCGTCTCATTCACAAGGTGCAGCTGATGAGTCAGCAGGGCGGCCCGCTGGTGCTGATCGGCCAAGCATCGGGCAGCCAGAGTCCGAGTCCGCTTCCCTCCGACAAATGATCGACATCTGGCCAGGAGCATTGTCCGCTGAGGGCCGAACTCGACTTGTCTGGGGTATTTCCAGGGGACATGTTCATCAGGGATCTCGATGTCTTGTTCAACCTATGCTAGGGAGCCAGAGGACTCAGGAAAGACTCTAGGAGGGTTCTGGGCCTCTGGGACAAGCTAGGCGGCGAGTGGGCGACTGGACGTCAGATCGCTCAGCAGCTGCGGTGGCAACCAATTCGTCTCACGTCCTCGGACGCTCGGAAGCTCTTTACCGCGTTCGCTATGCACGCCTGCGCAGGGAGAGCTCCAAGGTCCCTGGTTCCCGAGGGGGCCCGGTGGGTCGAGATTCAGGACGACGCGGGGGTTCTCGGGATGTCAGGAATCTGGGGAACCATTGGCGTGCAGGACGCGGCCGTCTGTCTCGGCACGAGTGACACTGACGCTCTCGATGTCATCTTCTGGTGAGAACAGCGCCCAGTTGAGGAGAAGGAGGAAGGAAGGAAGCATGACGAGCAAGAGCAAGACGAGGAGTGCAAGGCTGGAAACAAGTTGGGCATCGTTGAGCTCGCCCGCTTCGCGGCTGCCGCCTTAGACGAGGTGCTAGAGATCACCTGGCCCCAAGCCATCGTGCCTCAACGCGTTCGGGACGCCGCTGCCTGGACCATAGACGGTCGCGGCCTCAAGGCCTCCCGAGGCTTCCGTCGGAAGGAGCTAAGGCGGCTGGAAGAACAGAAGAGAGGATCCCTGGCCGGAGAGATCTTCTCGCGGCCTCGGGCGACGGACGAGCTGAGGCGGCGAGGCTATCGCGTTGGGGGCCATTGGCGTGCTCCTAGGGGTGGACCTCGACGGTGCCCCCGAGGGCGAGGCTCGGCTCTGGAGGGTCCTGGAGGCCGAGGCCCCTCTCTCTGTCCCTATGTCCCCAGGGTGCAAGGCCTTCTCACGGGCCCAGCAGGAAAGCGGAGGCAGAGGAAGACGGCCGAGAGAGAAACAAAAAGGAAGACGAGAAGGAGGGAGGAGGGAGAAGGGACAGGGTACGTACGCAGGAGGGAGGAGGTGGAAAGAAGAGGGATGAGAGAGGAGATATGGTAGGAATGAGGGGGGACGAGGGAGGTTGGAGAAATGAGAGACGGGAGGAGGATGGAGGAAGCAGGGTGGAGGGACAAGGGACGAGGAGAAGGAGCAGGACTCCATCCTCCAAGTCATCCTCATCCACCTCCTCCTCCTCCTCCTCGCCCTCACATTACGACTCTGAACACGGCTACACATCGCAGCCGTGCCAACTTGCGTGTGAGGTAGTTTGAATATGACCTCTGTGAACTGGTAGCCCCAAATCATAGATTGGATCTGCATCGGATCAGAGAGAACAAAAAAATCCAAGACCCATTTGATCATGCAACGCCACACGTTATCCTCCTTATCTTCGCGCGTAGCAGACTCCTCCTCCTCCTCCTCATCCATCCCCGCTGCGTCACCAGGACAGGCACCAGCGACGGCATGAACTTCTGACAGCTCAGCTCGATCCAGCCACGCTGCGCGTTTGTGACCAACACCACTGTGCCTGCGCGACGGGAAAGGGTGGCACCGCACTGGCGCACTGGCCCTACCTTCGGAACAGTTGCCCTGAGAGCAGGGGACATGAGGGACAACGGTCCTCGACCCCAAGGCTTCCACCGAAAGTTTCGCGCTGAGTCTGATCAAGGCACAAGTGAACTTCAATGCTCAATACACCAATGAACTTTCGAAGAACACGATTTCGATCTTCATTCATATCAAAATGTCATATCCATTTGTATTTGCCCCGTGGTCGGCTTCGCCTGCGCACGGCACCCGCTGTATACGAGAAGAGCGGCGACCAAGCCCAGCCGTGTCCGACACGTGTTGTTCATCAACCATGGCGTGCAAGCATGTATCAAAGTCAGGGCGCCGACTGGGCACCTACACCGATCCCAGCCAGGATTGGAATATACACCCTCCTGGCTTTGCCATGGAAGCACACACACACACACCGATCTCAGGGCCAGGATAGGCCTGGCCACGATAAGGGTGCGTGCTTGACTGTGTGTGTCGCCTGCGTCCCACGATTTGGCATGAGGGGGAAGCGTCCTGGAGGGAAACGGGTCCTGGACTCCGAGGTTCTTTTGGGGACAGTTTTGTCATCCCGATCACATTTCTTTGAGAGCCCCAAGCCACACCTGTCGAGCACCAGATCGGTGCAACAAGCGACGTCTCTGGCTCCCAGGTCGGAAACCAATTCGGCAGCGGTGGAGCGAATCCTTCTGGAGGTTGCTGGAGACCCTCTGTAACCTCCTGAGGTCTCCCGATGCTCCCCGAAGGCCTCCGGAGGCCCTCCGAAGGACATCCGAGGCCTTCGAAAGCATGCAGAAAGACCACCCGGCCATCGGAGAGACCAGACGGCCGTCGACTTGCCAAGCGATCGGAATGCTGAAGCAGTCGACGTATGTGCAGGGCAGCGTTGGGCAAGCACGTGTAGGTCTGGTTCCTGGGGTCACAGATCTAGAAGGATAACTCAACCAATGCATCTGCCATGGGCAGGCCCATACTGAGCCCAGAATCGGTGCATACGCCCTCTTGGCTTTGCCAGAAAGGCATGTGACTCCGATCCTGGGCCCTGCAAGGTGTGCGGACATGATGGGTGTAATCCTGTGCGAAATTATCGCTTCACCTGACGTCGACCCACGAGCATGCCCAGGAGTGCGTTCTGCCCAAAATTTCGAGGCGGACCCAGCCGCTGCTGCCAGCCGCGGTGATAATTAGGGAGCCCCTCAAAGAGGACCAGCTACGTTCAAAACCCTGGATCCTCGACCCTGGATCCTGAACTCTCGGCTTGCCAAATGGCCGACTCTGGAAACACGGGATCGGAAGACATTTGCACCACCTGGGGGCGCACCTTTTACCTCCACCAACTTCCGCTGGCCGAACCGCCCCTGTTTCGCTTCCGCCAACTTCCACCGGCCCTCCCGCACCTTTTGCCGAGGAAAGGAAGCCAACTTGGTCCCCATACCCCCGACGTCGTGATTGTGCCGCATCGTGGACCCCCAAAGGTCCCCTTCGAGGGGACTGGCTTTTCATCCTGCGTAGATTTGACGACCCCAGACCAGGCAAAGGATCTCGGATGCCAAAAACAACAAAGCAAAAACCTTTCGTCGTGATTTTCTGACGACGGGAGGCGGGGTCTGGGTCGCTAGGCTTTCGGACCATGACTCGCGCCTCAAGAGGCCCTTCCGGACGATCCGCGCAGCCCTGGCCGCTTCTCGACGAGGTGCAAGTGATGGAGAATACCACCGTGGTGCCCGAACAATCCAGTACAAACCAAGAAACCACCGAACACGTATGGGTAATGAGAAGGAACAGGTCTTACGCGAGATGGCATAGCGAGCTTACGCGGAGGCTTCTGCGGGCTGCCGGCGCGGCACGCTATTTTGCGAATGAGGGCGCTTGCGTGCGTCATTGCGCGGGCAACTTACGCGCGAATGCCAGCGCAACCGTGCCCTGTTGTTTGTGTCGCGCATGTCCCTCGAAGCGAGGCCCTCCCCGAGAACGCCCTGATTACACAGAGCATCCGAAGGGCCGACCGAGCATCGTTTAACCGACCCCAATGCCCACTGGCACGGCCTGGGCCCCGCTGGCCGACTTACCTCCCTGGGCGGGGATATGTGATCCTGGGTCGAGGGTTCACAGCCCCCCCCAGATGGGATGGGCCCCAGCGTTCACAGGCCCCCCCCCCTGATGGGATGGGGGCGGGGACGACGACGACGACGATGACGACGCCACGCCCACAAGGCAACGACCACAGGGGGGGGACCCATCGCACGGTGGGGGGGGGGGCCCGAAGGCATCAGCATGAAGGGTGGGGGGCGGAGCCCTGGATCACACATGCTGTTCCTTTGCGGGACCTATCCTGGGGGAGTGGGCTGTTGGGGCTGAGATACCATGGCCCAGGCCCAATAAGGATGGGGGATCGGTTGGCCTACGCAAAGCAACGCTCATGCGGCCCGGGGGCGCCGTGCTGCTTCGCGGCCGCGAGCGTCTCGCCGGCAACTCTCGCGACCTGCGGCGCGGGCTGGATCGATCCACCACACGCTCAGGCCAGGCCCCAAACATCGACGACGACGACGATGATCGAGGATCAGCGATGGAGACTTTGTGATCATTTCTGGGGTTTGGGGGCCCCCAGAGGTGGACACCTCCCAAACGGGGTCTCAGCAGATGGGGTCGGAGCATCGTGCCGCATCGCCGGTGCATCGCCGACATCGGCGATGCATCGACGCCGTCGGCGTGGAGAAAATCGGGCTCCGCATCGAGCCGCATCGCCGATGCATCGGCGATCCTCCGACCCTCCCTGTTCGGACCCCATCTGGGAGGATCGACCCGAGGCCTCCCAGGGACCTCTGGAGGCCTCTGGGTGCCCAGCTCTTTGTCGGCTCGAACACATCGAGGCCGCCGACTCTTCGCCATTCGGAACCCTTGCGGGCCAGACTCGGGCCCTGGGCCCTGGCTCAACCTGAAGTGCCAGCCCGGGGGAGGGGCGTCGGGGGCTCCAGGGGTTGGACCGCCCATGTCTGGATGACTCCAGCGAAACGCTCGTATTGCCACGATCGATGTTGGGACACATCTCGTTGTCATGATGCTTCCGTCGAAATTGCCATTTTTGGGAGTGTAATCTGCCGTGCATACCTGTCTGCAATGCTGCTCTGGCTTGCCGTGCAGGTGTTCCGTGCTGTATGATACGTGATGTGCGAGTGCGCTGTATGGATTCGGTTGTTTCTGCTACTTTGTGGATTGTGCTGTATGGTGTTTAGTTTGAAGATGTGCTGTGCATGCTGTGAGCTGTGAGTGTGGTGTTGGGCGGGCGGGAGAAGCGTACGGTGTGAATGCCGAATGTGTACTGGGCGTGATGAAGGGGGGACACATGGTACGCACGCGTGTGGTACGCGCGTTGTGCGTTGTGCGTGTTATCGCGTTTGCCCTGTGAGCTGTGCGTTTGGAATTGTGTTGTGTGGGTTGCTTACTGCGTACGTTGAGTGCGTTGAACGTGTGTGTGTGTGTCATTTACTGTGTGCTGTGTACCCTGTTGGGTGCATTGCGTGATCAGTCGTATGTGTTGTGTTATGTGTGGTAGATTGTGCGGCGCATGTTATGTGAGTACGGATGAAGGGACGTTTTGAATGCCCCCTGCGATGGCATCATTGTTTAAAGGCGATCGCCGTAGCAAAGCTTTTCCGACAAACAACTGCTCGAATATGTCATGACCAGAACGCCTACAGGTATGTGACACAGCATCGTAACACAGCTCATTGAAAACCTGATACGCTGAGGATGTCTCGAGCAAAACACTTTCTTGTATGGAACGCGCGTCGTAACGCAGCTCGTCCAACATCTCCGTACTCGGGGATGTAGAACGCGAAACTTTGGTTTGTATAAGACAGTGCTGCTGACAGATTATTGCATTCGAAGCGTTTCGAACGACACGCGCCCCAAGAAACATATTGCATGCATCCTGGGCAATACTGGAGCCTTCTAGGACAATGTTTACATCCGTTCTGGGCGCCCTTGGGACCTCTTCTGCGCATCCTGGTGCATTAGTGCTGGCGTCCCCTTAGAGCGTCTGGGTTTCGTCGGGGGCGGGCGTCCCCGCGTGGGGGCGCGCGGTCCTAGCCCTTGGGCTCTGGACCCCCGTGATCGCGTGTGCATGTGTACATGTATGTGCATATATACACATATGTATATATACATATATAGTTACACATGTTTGTGTATATATGTATGTGTATATGTATAGATGTGTGCTCCACCACAAAAATGTACACTTTGGGGTTTCATAACTTTCGTTTCAAAGGGGCGTGTCCTCGGTCTGACGGTCTTGCGCAACATAGGTTCTCTTTTCACAAGACGAATCTAGATTCCTTCCGCGCAGCGCCGCGCTGGCAAAATGCACAAACGTCTTGGCGTGGCGGACAGGACGGTCAGGCTCGCGGCGTAGGGCGACCCCATGGGGCACCCCCCGCGCCGACCCGACCCCGCAGCGTGGCCGCCTGCGCTGCACCACAGATCCCCACGACAAGCTCCCCCACAAAAAAAAACGAAAGGCCAAAGGGCGGCGAGGGCGGGGAAGAAGGGGAGGCCCCGCAGGTGCATGGGCCCTCGCGGGGGCCCGCCTGTCATGGGATACACAACTGCGGCCGCCTGCGCGTGGGCCCCTTCGGGGGCCCGCCTGCCCCTGGCCCCCGCAGGCCCCATGGGCCCCCGCAGGGGCCCGCCTGCCCTTCGGTCGCCACTTACCATCCCGCCACGGACCCGGGCGGACGGCGGGCGCGGGCCGCCGCCGAGCAACGAGCAGCGCGACAGCCCAGACGAGCAGCAGCATGGCACGCAAGGGCGCATGGCGCGGATGACCGAAGGAGCGACTGAGGGACAGGGCGACTGAGATGGTCGAGCGCGGGGCGGCACCAGGAATTTTTCTGCCTGCCAAACTTCTTGGTTTATTGCCTAACAGCGAAGACTGATAGGTTTCTAGTAGGGTCAAAAGAGAGCAGCAGATGACTCCACAGGGGGGTCCGGGCGGCATCCAGGGAGCTGGGTCCGAACTCGCTTTCCGCAAACAGTCACACACTTCGTGCTCTTCGACCTCCCAGAACTCCATTCCCGGGCCACATTCTGAATGCCCGGAGCCAACTGTAAACCACTTCGTGCTCTTCGAGTTCCCAGAACTCTTTCCCGGGCCACATTTTGAATGCCCGGAGCCAACTTTAGGCCACTTCGTGCTCTTCGAGTTCCCAGAACTCCATTCCCGGGCCACATTTTGAATGCCCGGAGCCAACTGTAGGCCACTTCGTGCTCTTCGAGTCCCAATCGCCAAAAAGGCAATTGATTTTAATGATGACGTGTTCTTATCGACGACTTAATGACGATATCAATAACTCTAAGAAAAGATATCAAAAGTTAATGATGCAATCATTAACTCCGATGATTCAGTGTACATTGTACACTGCGAATTTGCAGTCTACGCGCCTTGCTCTTAAAATCCCTCCTCCTCCTCCACCTCCTTCTCCTGCTCCTCCTGCTCCTCCTTCTCCTTCTCCTCCTCCTCTTCGTCGTTGTCGTCCTCGGCGTCGTCGTTGTTGTCGTCGTCGTCGTCATCCTCCTCCTGTTGCTGTTTCTGATGCTGCTGCTGCTGCTGATGATGATTTCCCTCTGCCTCCTTCTCCACCTGCTCCTGCTCTGGCTCTCGCTCGTCCCCCTCATCATCCTTCTCATGCTGCTGCCCCCCCCTCCTCCCCCTCGTCCTGCTTCTGTGCCTCCTCTTCCTCTTGCTCCTGCCCCTCCTGCTCCTGCTCCTGCTCCTGCTCCTGCTCCTCCTCCTCCTCCCCCTCCCCTTCCTCCTCCTCCTCTTCCTCCTCATCCTGTCCCTCCTCCTCTCCCTCCTCCTCTTCTTCCTCTTCCTCTGCTTCATCGTCGTCGTTTTCGTCGTCATCCGCCTACTGTAATCTCTCCTCCACCCCACTGTACGCAGCCATTTTGGCTCAAGCGAGCATGTTTGCAAAGCTTTGCTCAGTTGCAGCGCCCCCTCGGAGAGGGGGATGGAGGCAACAAGCTGCGGCAGCAGCAGCCGACATAGTATTCCCTTTATCGAACATCGCTGCAGGACACTTGCTCGATTGGGCAGATGGATTAATCAGCGCCACAAAGCTCAGGTGGCACTTACGAATGGCAGTTGCGGATGGAGTGGACCATCCAATGGTTACGAGATTGAGCAGTGTTGGCAACGAGGAGTCAAATATAGCTAGTGGCCTGGTTGCTTTGCTGGAATCGGAATGTTCTTTCGGGCAACTGATTACTACCCTAGATGATGGGGACGTCACGCACGTCATCAGGCCGTCATCCTGGATAGGCTTTCTTCACGACCGTTTCCCATCAAAATTTGTTGTGCGAACTGGAGCTGACGAGGCGAAGCTTGACGAATTCTGGAAACTATATCGTTCGAGCGACGCTGGCGCTAGGCGGCTTGCAGACCACCCACTACTTCGCAATTTGGGCCCACACTCTGAAGCATGGCGCAGGCTGGTCCCTTGCAATGTCCACGAGGACGCTGGTCCATTTGCGAAAAAAAGCTCGTGCAATGTGATATCATTCAGTTTCCTCCTGGGGGCAGGCGGCGATAAAGCATCGCATATTCCAGTGGCAACCTGCGTAAAAACTGATTCCAAAACTCAAGACATGACTGGTGCATGGCAGTTGTTCTTGGATGATATGGACGATTTATTTTTCAATGGCGTGCGTGGCTGGAACTTCATCTTACTTCACGCGAAATCAGATTTAGAGGTGAAAACGGTCAGCTGGGGCGCTCCATCGTACAATGCTGGGGACGAGCTTTGCGCAGATTGTCGCGCAAATCGCACAACGCTGCCGTATACAGATTTAAGAGTGGATGCAAGGTGGCGGTCCTCTCTCATCACTTCGACTGTGGAATATAAGGCTCGGTTTCGCTTGCCACACCACCCTCTCGTATGTTCACATTATTTCGATTTGCATTTTTCGCGAACGACCTCATGCACACCTGCGATTGCAATGGGGTGGCAGGGCATATGGCTGGCTCTGTCATGAAGCCCCTCGTTGTCAACGAAGCTCGGCTAGGCGCTAACCAAACTGCGCGCATGAAGGCCATCAACGACTTGATGAGGGATTTCTATACGCGCAATCCTGGCTCGAACAGGTGCCCCGACATCAAGGTGAACAATCTGACAGATTCGGTGGGATATTCTAATTTGAGTGGCGCTGCGTTCAAGGCTGCCAACACACGTGGGCTAGCGCCGTTCCTAGTGGAGTTGGCTGATCAGTACTACGATTCAGATTCGCAGAAGGACAGGTTCGTGCGGCGAGCGTGTGTGCACTGGAATGCTTTTTATATGATTGTGTATTCATCTGGCATGTTCATGACCACGGAGCAAAAATCATATCTGCGCACAGCTGTCCTTCGTTGGGGTGTAGCTTACCAGTGCCTTCGAGAGTTGTCGGTTGCCGAACACAAGTTAGACTTCATGATCGTGCCGA